TAATAATTGTAATTCTATCTTAACACTTTTATCTAAAAAGTATTTTATATTGTGTAATTCCCTTAGATAAATGAAAAAAATATCACAAGTTTTATTTCTGTGCAGTTCAAAGGAGTCTCAATTATAAACAATGCATTTATAATTTTTAGACTTTCTACCCATTCCAAATTATAGGTTTATATTTCCTAAGAAATGATCATATTCTTAGACATTTCTTGTTTTTTCATTTGATTTTTACTTCTCTGTTAATATATTTATTATTACAGCCCTTTAGTCACACACAAACATGATATTACATCATTGTGGTCTGAACAGTTGCCAATAACGTCAAACTCAATGAGTAGATGTTGTTTGTAACTTTCAACTACCAACCTTTACAAGTAACTAAACTTCTCACCTTTCAGAATTGATTTGACCAAACATTATATAAGATCAAATTTCAGACATTTTGGCGACATTGCTTTTTATAAAGTTTATCTAGGAACTTAAGTACTGCCAGACTTTCGTGCCACTATGAAAGATTGTTGATTTTTAGAGACTACAGTGAACTTGACGAGTTTTCAAATGCATCCAAGACTCCATGAGCCAATATAGATCTATCTGCTGCTGTTGAAGAGGCAAAGAAAGAATAACATTTGCTAATAATGACCTCTGATGTCCATGCTCTTTCGAAAGCCACCAAAAGTCATGTCTCAGGGTACAGATGTAAAGACATCCAGCTAACAGTATTGGTGTACCCCTGAAATCCTGAACCCAGTCTGCAGACAGCCCAACACCTCCCAGTCACTTAGCTATCTACAACATATCCTAACAGAAAGAGAGACAGGAGAAACTAAATAATGTTGTAAAATGTCATGTTGGAGGGCATTTCAAAGTCAGAGACCACTTAATTTAGATCTGGGCTGAAACTCCTCAAATACTCAAAGAAGCCTCCGGAACCTATCATCATAATAGACTACTCCCATCATGATAAGACCCTAAGGTTCTGCATCAGCTCAAGCAACAGTATTATATGCTAGGGGTTTCAGAGTTACTGATCACAGCGATGACTTCAGTTCTGACCCACTACGACTTCCAACAAAATAATAATTTAAAATAGCACTGTCTGGCCCAGGCTCCAAATTCTACTAAAGCCTGGTTGATGTTTAAACGATAATAGGATCAATGGATGAGAACAGAGTCAAGAGTTTTAGTTTAGAATGCCCTGATAGCTTTGCCAGGATCAAGGTTTGTTTGTTTTGTTTGTTTTTAATTTCGCTCAAAGCTACACGAGGGCTATCTGCGCTAGCCGTCCCTAATTTAGCAGTGTAAGACTAGAGGGAAGGCAGCTAGTCATCACCACCCACCGTCAACTCTTGGGCTACTCTTTTACCAACGAGTAGTGGGATTGACCGTCACATTATAACGCCCCCACGGCTGAAAGGGCGAGCATGTTTGGTGTGACGGGGATTCGAACCCGCGACCCGCAGATTGCAAGACGAGCTCCCTAGCCACCTGGCCATGCCGGGCCCGCCAGGACCAAGGAGGGCTTACTTATTGTGAAGGCTAAAGAAATAATCAAAATAATTATATATTCACACAAGAAGCTTATAGGTACTCTGGAGACCCTATCAGTACAAATAGTTTTATTTTAAAATTTACTTTTCTGTAAAAATAAACGGTTTTCATGTCATTATAAGGGTTCAGAGTGTTTTCATCTTAAAGTGTTACCATTTTGTGAAACCAATATGTTTGTACACATTTAAATGAAGGATTTAAAATATTTTCTTAATTAGGATTAGGCTGACTGCAAATCCAAGGGTATACGATTTTCATCCTATTGCGCAAAATCATGCTCTGCACTTTGTAACCATTGAGTAATTATAAGGGTAATGGTTAAATACTACTGATTAGAGAACCAGAGAGTTGTTGGTGGGGGCTGTTTACTAGCTACCTTTTTTTCTAGCCACTGTGTAGCTTTGTGTGACTATCCAAAGCAAACAAACACATTTTATACAATCCCCATTATCAGTATATTTGTTTCAGAAATTCATGCAAAACTATACAAGGACTATAGATATGTGTTAGCCATCCTAATTAAAGGGAAAGCAGCAACTCCCACCAACTATTGGGTTACTCTGATAAAAATGTGGGATTTGTGGTATATGTATAACACCCCCTGGAAACATATGCAGATCATGATTTTACAACAATAGGATACGAACAATGGATTCTCAGAATCATAGTCCAGAACACCAATCACTAATTAATGCCTGGCAACAATTGTGTTTTACATAATTTTATCAAATATTTGAAGTGTTTTCATCTTAAAATTTGCATTTTTGTGAAACCGAGTGATTTGTATATTTAAAAAAGGTTTGATTTCATGCAATATTACTCCATTTTTGTGGATATATGTAAAAAGATTTAACTTTATGTTTATGTTTACACACCTCTATGTTGAAGAATTTGTTTTGTTATGCATTTTTATTAGGATAATATAAAATTCATATCAAATGGTTTTACCATGTATTGCATATTATATATCATTGTTATTGCTTGCCTATCCTATCTACATGCCGTGCCACGAAACGTGTTTTTTTTGGGCGCAGGAGTAAGATATCATAGATACCACAAGTTTGCTCCTTTGGATTTTAACTATTTCATTGGATTTAAAGCTTAAACGTAGGAATGGCTGGAGTGGTCCGAAAGTAAATGTGGTATGTGCAACATACTTGGTTTTCTTTTCTCTTTTAATTTAGGTAGGCGAATATTTCTTGTTAATCAAAATTTCCAAATTTGTTCACACTTACTGCATTGATGAATGTGTTAATTTTAGTATGTAGTTAATCAGCTTTGGATTCGACTGATCTTATTCTGGTGTAGACTATAGTGTGTAGTTAATTAGCTTTGGATTCGACTGATCTTATTCTTATTTAAGTTATAGTGTGTAGATAACCAGCTTTTGACTCCACTGACCTTATTCTTATTTAAGTTATAGTGTGTAGATAACCAGCTTTTGACTCCACTGACCTTATTCTTATTTAAGTTATAATGTGTAGATAACCAGCTTTTGACAGAGTTGTGTTTTCATTGTGTACATTTATGCTATTTAGAATCATTACTAAGTCTGATAAGATTTGAAACGACATAGACGAGATAACTTGAAGTTAATGTAAAAGTGAGACATTTCTTTAAAAATGACAGTATATTTCAAAGTTATGGGTATCGAAGAAACAACTTTCTAACTCGTATCACAAATTACGTGAAGATCATGTAATTATTTTGTTCAAATATTTAATCGTTGTTTGTGGAATGAGTACAAAAAATTAAAGACATAACTTGGAACTGTTGACAGTATAGAGACATATACCCAGATCATATTTTATATACTGTATTTCGTAGATATATAAATAGTTTTTGTTTTAGTAAAACTTTGAATGACGTTCGAAATTACAAAATGAATGTTCCTTTCATAGAATAAGGATAATTGATTATCAACACATTCCCAAGATTATCTGCTGCATAGAATATCCAATATGTCGTTTATTTGGTTTACTACATCTCAACAAAACAAATAAACACTCATAGACACAAAGAACTTTTTCCCATGATTAATGAGAAAGATCTGTTTAGAGCCACAGCGCCCTCTATAAAAAGTAATTTTAATCGAAATCTTACGAAGGCTAATAATAGATTTAATCAACGTATCAAATAAAAATAAGATGTAATTATACAATTTTTTGAGGAAAAAAAGCATTAACAGGCCAATAGATCAAAGGTAAGCAAATAAAGAATAGGATGCCACAGATATGGTATTGTTTAATATCTCTATATGATTTATGTCTACATCTGATTGAATACCAATACACTGAAATTGATTTTTACCATTATACTTATACGAGTTTAAATAGTGTTTAAATTAACATTTAAATAATTTACATTTTACGGATAGAATATTTGTCTCACATGATCTGTTCAAAATGTTTTTTATAAGGTAAAAGTAAGGGTGTTTTTAGATGTTACAGCTCTGACGTTTCAAAAGTAGGCGTAATTATAGAGACATGCTTTAACACAGAGTTGTTACCATTGTTACAGTTTTAAATTGTGGAATTCATTCTGTTCTTCACAGTTATTTGATGAAAACGACTCTTGATGCGAACAAGAATCTGAGAGCGGAGCGATGACAATATTCTTGGTGGTTGGACGAACTGTTTTGTCGGCCATTTGAAGAAGACCGCGGATTTTGAAATCAGGATTTGATCGTTTTGGTTTAAAAACTGGCCAATGGGAGAAGAGTTAGGGACAAAAAGATTTGAGACTACTGAACCAGCCTCGGATCTGTGATTAGGAAACAAGAAAAAAAAAGTATGAAATGAAAACAGTTTTTGTTCATTCAAAGGTTATTATTAATGAATGTGTCATGAACAGCGTAAAGACTGACCAGCTAAAACGACTATTTTTGTTTTTATTCATCATACACGGAGCTGACAGCAAGGAATAACAACTGACCAGCTAAAACGATTATTTTTGTTATTATTTATCATACACAGAGCTGACAGCCAGGAATAACAACTGATCAGCTAAAATTATTATTTTTGTTATTATTCATCATATACAGAGCTAACAGCAAGGAATAACAACTGACCAGCCAAAACAATTATTTTTTGTTATTATTCACCATATACAGAGTTAACAGCCAGGAATAACAACTGACCAGCTAAAACGATTATTTTTGTTATAATTCATCATATACAGAGCTGACAGCCAGGAATAACAACTGACCAGCTAAAACGATTACTTTTTATTCATCACTCACGGAGCTGACAGCCAGGAATTACCTGTGACCAACTAAAACGATTATTTTTGTTATTATTCATCATACACAGAGCTGACAGCCACAAATAACAACTGACCAGTTAGAACGATTATTTTTGTTATTATCCATCATATACAGAGCTAACAGCAAATAATAACAAATGACCAGCTAAAATGATTATTTTTGTTAATATTCAACATATACAGAGCTAACAGAAAGGAATAACAACTGACCAGATAAAACGATTATTTTTGTTATTATTCATCATACACAGAGCTGATAGAAAGGAATAACAACTGACCAGCTAAAACGATTACTTTTTTTATTCATCATACACGGAGCTGACAGCCAGGAATTACCAGTGACCAACTAAAAGGATTATTAGTGTTATTATTCATCATACACAGAGCTGACAGCCAGGAAATACAACTGACCAGATAAAACATTTTTTTTTGTTATTACTTATCATATATAGACCTAACAGCCAGGAATAACAACTGACCAGCTAAAACGATTGCTTTTTTTATTCATCATACACGGAGCTGACAGCAAGGAATAACAACTGACCAGCTAAAACGATTATTTTTGTTACTATCCATCACATGCAGAGATAACAGCAAGAGATAACAACTGACCAGCTAAAACGATTATTCTTTTTTGGATATTCATCATACACAGAGCTGACAGCAAGGAATAATATTAATAACTAGTGACTAATTTTAAGACAACAAATTTTCCGTATGTTTTTCATATTGCTCAATGTTTTTTGCTATACTTTTTCTTGACAAATAAATTGATTCTATGTAAGAACAAAAACGTGACCGAAGTAGTCAGTAACCGGAATATCTTTATTCATCTTTACGTACGTGTAAGTGATTCTTCACATGTTTAGAAACGGGAACAATACAACTGTAATCATCAGTAAAGTTGCCTTAATCTATCTCGCTCCTGCTTTAACAACTCGTTGTCATAAGCTTCCATCCAGATTGGATTAGATCTAAAAGTTCACAAAATAGCACAATAAGGAAGTATTATCTTTTTACTAGAATCTTGTAAGCCTGAATAGCTTTGTAAATGTCAGTTATTATAACAACTCGCAAACATGGAAGAATAAAATTACGTATACAGAAATAAGATCTTATAATTATGGTAATTATAAACAATATTTTGACGCAAGTTTTATCATGGTCTCCAGTGATCTTATGTCGAATTAAACAAGATTTCAAAAATTATTGATATCAAAGGACTTGAGGTGAAGCTAATGAAGTACGGAGCTTTTTATAAAATAAAGTCTGTCAAAACACTACAATAAGAACTACTAATAGTTTAACAAGTCTTCCATAGGTCTTATTATTTTACTTCTACAATGAGAAAGAACTAAACACTAACCTAAGAAATATGACCCAATATGGCATACTTACAGCCTTAATTTATGAAATTCCTTTAATGATATTCACTCATAATTTAATTTTATTTTATTTTTACGTGTAATAAACGTATATTTTCACAAAGAAAACTATTTATTTTACCCTTCACCTCGGACTTTCTTAGCGCCGGCTGTTGGGAATCTGTAGAAACAGAATGTAAATAATAAAATTATAGCTGGTAGTGTTATAAGATTTCTAAACCTAAAGTAAGTACATAAACTATACCTCAATTTTGATGCTTTTAGCAAAAGTATCGCTTCCTTGTAAAAAGTCATACAGACCATAAAGTTATCACCATTTTCAAAATTAGCAAAAATAAATCCTTTAGGATAAACAAGCGCCATTTACATAATATAAATTAACTTGTATGTTAATTATCTATAAAAGAAAAAGAAAGAAAGAAAGAGAAACAAAGGCGCAGTTACATCTTCGGTAAAATACATTTCGTTCTTATGTCTAGGAAAAATGAGGACTGGGACATCACCGAACTTAAAATAATGTCCACACACTTAACACCAGATACACAGCTCATTATTTATATACTCACCAAAAGCTGCCGTAGTAGTGGCCTTCAACTGTCGTTCATATCTAGTTATAGATAAAGTAACACGCAATTAGCATAGTAGACGTTATTATCATATTACTGAAGTAGATTGTATATATTATCATTTTAACTGAAGTAGTTGAATGTCACCAGGTCATGGTCGTAAGATTTCTTTTAGATTAGGCCTAGCAGATACACATTTGAAAACAAGGAAAATTACTCGTGGCAACAACAAAAAAGTCTTACACATACACACGTCTCCCAGTGGCACAGTCTGCGAGCTTACAATGCTAGAAACCGGGTTTCGATACCCGAGGTGGGCAGAGCACCCATAAAGCCCGTTGTGTAGTTTTGTGCTTAACTACAAACAAAACAAAAAATAATATATACATATTCCAAATAAATATTTTAAACAACAGTGCCATTTTAACTTTATCTTGTTATAAATATAGAAAACCAGTAAGCTCACCTGCAACATTGCGTTATACAAATGGAGATAACAATTATTAAAGTGATCGCTAAAACAACTACTACACCAATGAGACATATCCTGATCTGATCATCTGTGCAATCTAGCAGAGATCCGTTCTTCGCAGCCTGTTCATAATCAGGAAAAAATAAAATTAAACTAACATAACAAATAACTAGTGCTGTCATGCACTAGATGATTTCAGACTTAGACATTGAAAATAATAGAATCTTATCATTTATTCCAATAGAAATAATAAAACAAGTATTAGGAATGTATTAGTATAAGTATTAGTATTTACATCTGGCTATAATAATTAAACTAATAACTCTATTTAATTATATAGTATTTACACCTGGCTATAAGAATTAAACTAATAACTCAATTTAATTATATAGTATTTACACCTGTTTATAAGAATTAAACTAATAACTCAATATAATTATATAGTATTTATACCTGGCTATAAGAATTAAACTAATAACTCATCTTAATTATATAGTACTTACACCTGGCTATAAGAATTAAACTTATAACTCAATGTAATTATATAGTATTTATACCTGGCTATAAGAACTAAACTAATAACTCAATGTAATTATATAGTATTTACACCTGGCTATAAGAACTAAACTAATAACTCAATTTAATTATATAGTATTTACACCTGACTGTAAGAATTAAACTAATAATTCTATTTAATTGTATAGTATTTACACCTGACTGTAAGAATTAAACTAATAATTCTATTTAATTATGTAGTATTTACACCTGGCTAAAAGAATTAAACTAATAACTCAATTTAATTGTATAGTATTTACACCTGGCTATAATAATTAAACAAAAGTTTACTTCTGTACGCCCAAAGTTTTAGAATAAAACATAGAATGCCCAAAACTTTCATAAATGTTGCTTCTTGTTAACTTACCTCGCTATACATGACATTGAACTCTTTGAATAACTCGTCAAGAAAATATTTTTTTTTGTCGATAAGCCTATGAAAGAAGAAAATAGTTTTAATAAAAAATGCCACTCTGCTGTTGCTTTTACGACAGTAAATAATTATTAGTAAGTTAAAGCCACGTATTTATGTATTTGATAATATATTTGAGAATTTTGTAATATCGTCACTGAATAAAATTTCAATGATGACTGCTAAATAGTTTATGCAAAACTTGGGTGTTTGTTTCAGAGCAATGCTACTTTGGCTATCTGCTATATCCATCGCGGTGAATCAAACCCCGGATTTTGGCGTTGTAATTATGCAAATCATTGTAAGAAACATAAAATTGGTATGGCTGCCAAAGGTTTTCTTCAGTTGACTTACTCATATATCTTGTGAACTTTAATTAATATAAGTCACACTTATATTACAATTAGTTTATTGTGTAAACAAAGATGTATCAAGTTCAGAACTCTCGCCTTTTCTACAAGCGTTCTCGCATCTATACTTACGATAATACGGTGTCGACGTCACTTCCGAAAAATATAGGAAGTACATTTATTAGTGTAATATTTGTAACGCTCTTAAAAATCACAATATCAAATACGTTGGAAATCAAAGATTGATAAAACTAGAAAAGTCGAAACCTTTAGTGAATATTATATTAATTACATATTAGAGTACTAACGGTTAACTGCACTTTGTATAAACTATTTGTTGATGCTAATACTT